GTGATATATAAGATTCCATGCAAAGACTGTGACAAACATTACATTGGACAGACAGGAAGGAAACTGGCCACAAGAATACATGAACAACAACTGTCCACAAAAAGACATGACCAGTACTCACTTGTCTCCATTCACACAGATAAGGAGAGCCACCAGTTCAATTGGGACAACATCAGGATCCTAGGACAGGCCAAACGGAGACAGGCACGGGAATTTCTAGAGGTTTGGTTCTCTACCAAGAAGGCCATCAATAAACACATATAATTAGATCCTAGATATACATCACTGCGAAGAAAAACCAGAAATGAGGTAACCAATTCCAACGGACCCCAGAGTTTAAATACCAGGCGGGAAAACACAACAGTGCTTCATCAGAGGCTATGAAATGTCTGCAAACTAACAAACCAGCTTGGCGAGTGAACCAACCACAGCATCCACAACCCGACCTACAAATCTACTCAAGAGCCTTCAATATGCAGTATCTTCAGGAGGCTAACAGGTTCTCTAGACAAAATCAAAAGGCAACTCTAGAAGATGACCCTGGCAGTCAATGTCAGGAATCAAGACTTCTACTTGACATTTATATGTTGTATCTAAACTTCATACACTTAGCACTTCCACAAGCCACAGATACAATTCCTAAAAAAAACTCCATGACAGCTATATCACCTAAACAGATTGTGAATCTTCAATGACTTGCTTCCTGCTCTTTTGCAGCACTTGATTGCATATAATTAGAGGAAGAGCTAACTGGAGATGCATGTCCTAACCTCTTTGGAAGAGGCAGTTCTGGCCACTATTGGAATGCTCCATTGTTAACTGCATGAGCAACGGCAGCAGTAAAACTTTGAAGATAATGGTATCCTCATAACTAATTCTGAAATCTAGCTTCCACTGCATCTCATAATCTCACAAATTGTAAGCTGCAAGTGGGATAAGACAAATATCTTATTATCCACATACTCTTCCCCAACTTCACAGCTGAATGTTACCCTTGTGCTGCTTGTTATATAATTGTATGAGTCTGAGAGGGTAAATGATGAGGAGTGCATTCAGCTTGCCCCAGTGTGATGACATCACATGGACTCGGGCAGAGGAGAATAGCTCTCAAAGAAGTAAGACCTAACAATAAGATCTTGCCCATAATCTCTGTAACAATATTGAACTTACTAATATAACTTATACATAGTTGCTAATATATAATAAACTACATTTTGTTTAAGGTAAGAGTGTCTTCTTGTTAGACTACCAGTTATTTTTCTACTATTGCACTAGACCAAGTAGGCCCTGTAGATGGAAAAGCTCAGCAGGTCTGGTAGCATCTGTGAAGAGTTCTGAGGAAGGGTCACCAGACCCGAAACGTTAACTTTGATTTCTCTTCACAGATGCTGCCAGACCTGCTGAACTTTTCCAGCAACCTCTGTTTTCGTTTCTGATTTGCAGCATCCGCAGTTCTTTCAGTTTTTATTTAGGCCCTGTAGATCCCTACCAGAAAAAAACAGATCTCACACTGTGATGAGCTGTGGTAAAGTGCCATCTTACACATTTTTTCATTCAAATACTCAAGAATGTTGCACTGTTAATCCAGAGACCCAGATAACGTTCTGGGGACCCGGGTTCGAATACCACCATGGCAGATGGTGGAATTTGAATTCAATAAAAAAAATCTGGAATTAAGAATCTAATCATGACCATGAATCCATTGTCGATCGTGTCCTTTAAGGGAAAGAAACTGTCATCCTTACCTGGTCTTGCCTACATGTGACTGCAGACGCACAGCAATGTGTTGACTCTGAACTGTCCTCTGGGCAATTAGGGATGGGCAATAAATGCTGCCTAGCCAGTGATGCACTCATCCCGTTAATGAATAAACAAAAAGTACATCCTGGCCAGGCAATGGAGGAACAGCAAGTAGACAGTGATGACTAGGACATATCTTCACTTGATTTTACACTCATAACCATCAGATCAGATGCTGACACTGCAGATAGTTTGGGGATAGTGTAATGGCATACAGGGAGACACAGTGGTCAAGAATATCCCGAAGCCAAGGCAAGGAACAAGGATAGCACATGTGTCAGCTCATCAGATGGTGAGATTGCACTCAAGACCCTCTGCAATCACTGGAACAGCACTCAAACATTCTCTGCTATTGAACAGGTGTTCAGTTGCGTAAGGCTAAGAGAGAAGTTTAGCTGGATGCTGCATAGGTATCAAGTCACAGTGTGGCATTACTCCAAAATTGTGAGGTGGTGTTGCAGATGCCATTTTGGAGCGATAGGCCACTCAGAATGTCTAAAATGCTGGCACAGATGATCCCAAATCTTGCCCTTGGTTGGTTCAATGCAGATTACGAGGCAGTGTTTACCATTATGAAATTAAGGGACATAATAGATAAAATACTGCTGTTTCCAGTATTAATTAAACATAAGAGATTTAGAACATGGAAAACAATTTTTGAAAGTGTTCTGAGACTGTGAAATTCACTTGTTAGGTTAGTAGTTGAGTAGTTTGGGGTGGCACGGTGGCTCAGTGGTTAGCACTGCTGCCTCAGGTGACTGTCTATGTGGAGTTTGCACTTTCTCCCCGTGTCTGTGAGGGTTTCCTCTGGGTACTTTGGTTTCTTCCCACAGTCCAAAGATGTGCAGATTAGGTGGATTGGCCATGCTAAATTGCCAATAGTGCCCAGGGATGTTTAGTTTAGTTGGGTTAGACATGGGAAATCAGGGGTAGCGGAATGGGTCTGGGTGGGATGCTCTTCAGAGGGGCAGCGTGGACTTCTTGGGCTGAATGGCCTGTTTCCACACTGTAGGAATTCTATGATTTACATAAACTATGCTAACATTCAAAATTAGATTGGTTAGGTAAAATGAATGGGATGGTGGAAGTAAGGACAGGGTAAGTAAGTGTGATTGTGTATTTTCTCTTCTAGGGGGGTAAATATGAACATTAAGTCATAAGAATTAGGAGTAGGATTTTACCCTTCAGACCTCTTCTGCCATTCAATAAGATCATGGCTGATCTGATTACTCCACATTCCCACCTATCCCTGATAATCTTTCACTTTCTTGCCTAACATGAAAAACTTACCCACTGGCTTGAAAATGTTCAAAATATCTTCTTTTTGAGGAAGAGTGTTCCAAAAACTTACCACTCACTGTGGGAAAAACAAATTCACCTCCTCTCTATCTTGTGTTACTGATGCCCAATTTTTAAATAGTGACTCCTTGCTCTAGATTCTGCACACCAACCACACCCAACCTCGTAAGAGGGAACATCTTTTGCACCTCTACCTGTTAAGACCACCCTGGATCTTACATGTTTCAATCAAGCTATCTTTTATCCTTCTAAACCGAAGTGATACAAGCCTAGCCTTTCAAACTTTTCATCACAGGACAGCCCACCCATTCCAGGAATTCATCTTGTAAACCTTCTCTCAATTGCTTTACACCCTTCCTTAAATAAAGAATCAGGACCATATGCAGTACACCAGATGTGATCTACATTATGCCTTCACAACTGAAGCATCACATCACTATTTTTGTATTCAACTCCCTTCACATAAAATAAGAACATTATTTAGTTTTCCAAATTATTTGCCATAATTGCAAATTAACCTCTTGTGATTCATGCACCAGGTCACCTAGATCCCTCTGCATCCCTGAGTTTTACAATTTCTCACCATTTGACAATATGTTTCTTTTATATTCTGCCTTCCAAAATGGACAATTTCATATTTTCCCATAAAGTACCCCATGTACCATATCTTTGCCCATCACTTAACCTATCTGTATACTTTTGTATCTCCCTTATGTCCTCTTCAAATACCTACTTCCCTGAATATCTCTGTATCATCAGCAAATTTAGCATCCATACTTTAGGTCCCTTTCTCCATATAATTTATATAAATTCTAAAATGTTTGAGGTCCCAGCACTGATCCCTATGCATACCATTCATTACATCTAACCAACCAGAAAATGACCTGTTTATCTCTACTCTCTACTTTCAGTTAGCCAACCAATCTTCCATCTGTACCAAAGTGTTACCCCATACACTGTGAGCTTTTAATTTTCATAATAACTTTTGCTTTGGCACCTCATCAAATGTCTTCTGGAAACCCACATACGCATATCCACCAATGTTCCTTTATCAACAGTATATTTACTTTCTCCAAATAAAAACAATAAATTCACTAAACATGATATCTATTCCACATAGTCATGTTGACTCTGCTTGACAGGACTTTTCTCAGTGCTTTTATAATGTCTTCAACAATAGCTTCTCACATCTTCCCTAGAACAAGTGTCAAACTGACTGTCCTGTAGTTTCTTGCTTTTTCTCCCTTTTTGAACAGAGGAGTTACATTCGCTGTTTTCTAATCCAGTGGAGCCTGACCTGAATCTAGGAAGTTTTGCAAAATTAAAACCAATGTATCAACTATCTCAGTAGCCACCCTGTGGTGAAGTTCCTCTCTGCCTTCCATTTCCTGATTTGCAACTATTTTTGGTAAGTCCTTATTTCCTCTACAGTGAAGACCTATGCAATATATTTGTGTAATTAACTTGCTGTCTCCTTCTTTTCCATTATTAACTCCCCATAAACACTTACTATAAGACCAATATTTCCTTTATTAACATTTTCTCATTTTATATATTTATAGAAACTCTTACTACTTGCTCTTATGGGGTGAATTTTCCCAAAAAGTAGCTAACTCTGAGAGTTTCATGGAGAGTTTCTCTCTATGAGTTGTAGCAAGTTATCTCACACAATTCTCCACTCCTCTCCTCTCTACGTATGAACCATATATCTATATTGCCGCTGCTGGTGCCAACTTTTGCTGTAGAGATGAGGAAGTACTTATTACCACTGGGACGTACTGGCATTTCCACCACCCAGCGCCATATTTAAAGACCAGCTGTGCACCATCGCTGCCAGCCATGGATAGCCCTTCACAGTGTACATAGTTGGAGGGAAATGAAAAATGAAAGCTGAGGTCACATTGATGGCCCAGTTAATACTTTATTACAAATAGAGATTCACATTTGTAAACATATTTCTATTTTTACATCGTCATCTGTCTTACAGACTGATGTTGTAACTGTACCTACAAGAACCAAGTTACACAGGCCATCTGTCCTTAGCACCCTGTTGCAGAGATTGCTACTCTTTCCCTAATGTTCAGAGTAGGATAACTTCTTGTCATTGTTCGGGATGACTATGGCCCACCTGACTGACTGACTTGGTAGTTAGAACCGACTGATGAGCGGACAGACACCTGATTCATCTCTTTACAGTTGGACTGTAACATCCCTTATAAATGCTACTGCGAGCTAGATGAGTGAGCTCTCTTGCAGTTACAGAACTGGATTAGACCAGTTACTTAACTAGTTAATGTTGTCTGTTCACCAGCACAGAGCTTGTATAGCCCTGCCTAAGCCTGGAAGGAAGTTCAAACTTAATGCAGCAAATTTTAGTTACATGCTAATTGCAAGTCAATAATACTAACTTTTATAAAAGAAATTTACCTTTAAGATTCACTCTGTTACATAGCATACTCTCAGGTTTGCACTCTGTTTCAGCTGCATTCCAAATGCTGACATTGACTTGTTGGGACAATTTGATTGCTCCCATATTGAAACTTCTAACATCTGTGTGGGAAAGTACTGTGAAAACAATGGGCTGAATCTTTTCATAATTTGCAGAAGTGTAAATTTTGTTGAGTTTAATGGCATAGCTTTTGCTCCACAAGGCCTAGCAAGATCTTTTGTCATCTGTCCCAAATTTGCCTCATTAACTACCTTGCCTGCTTCTATGGATCTCTTCATGGCCAATGCTAGCCTGATTCTACCAGGTGGCAAAGCCAGAACGACTTGCCACTGTTGGGATATCCCAGAATGGACCAGCATCCATGGCACCAGCTCCATCTATAAAAAGCCATTCTGCACCTGTACAAACACTTTCATTTCGGAGCTGTTATGCATGGTTCCTATTACTTGGCCAGTCATGGCAGAGATCTTGCTTTGTGGACATGGGTAGTGCAAAGGAGGGATGTCCTGTTCCCCCAGGACTGACAGTGGAGGCCATGATACCAGAACCTTCCAGCCTGGAGTTTGATTACCACCTTGGTCAGTGCCAACCAAGCCATCTGGAGGAATGCCCAATAATGCAGGAAGGTGAATAAACTTGTCTGCTCCACCAGCATAAGCACCACCACCTTTTCTCTGAGACCTCATACTCACTCTGTCTCTGCTACTACACCCACCTCCGATCAAGGTTCATGCTTCTTTATCCATAGAATACCTACAGTGCGGAAACAGGCCATTTGGCTCAACAAATCAATAACAGCTCTCCAAAGACCATCCCATCCAGACACCCAAACCGCACCCTGCCTCCACCCGATTCCTGTGACACTGCATTTCCCATGGCTAATCCACCTAAGCTACACATCCCTGCACTCTGTGGACAATTTAGCATGGTCAATCCACCTAACCTGCACATCTTTGGACTGTGTGAGGAAACTGGAGTACACCCATGCAGACATAGGAAGAATGTACAAACTGCACACAGACAGTCACCCAAGGCTGGAATTGAACTGGTGCCGTGAGGCAGCAGTGCTAACCACTGAGCCACTGTGCCACCCAAGAATTATAGAATCCCTACAATGCAGAAAGAGGGTATTTGGCTCATTGAGTCCACACTGACACTCCAAAGAGCCCAGACCCCCACCCTATCCCTATAATCTTGCATTTTACTATGAGCTAGCCTACATAGCTTACACATCCCTGGACACCATGGGTAATTTAGCATGGCCAATCCACCTAACCTGCACATCTATGGACTGTGGGAGGAAACCCACGTAGACACAGTCGCCCAAGGGTGGAATCAAACCTGGGTCCCTTGCACTGTGAGGCAGCAGTGCTAACCACTAAGCCACCATGCCATCAAAGCAACAGCTTCCAATGGCCGGGAATCAAAACCAGGTCAACTGCTGGGAAGGCAGCTATGCTCATACCACTCTCACTAGGGCATACAACATCTTCCTTTTCTCATCTTTGCCCATCTCAATCCCTGATACCACTAACACTGAATGGCTTCTGTACTGCCCACTCACTCACTCAGGACACCATTTACACCAACACCCATTTTTATTTCACTTGTTCTCTCTCTTTCTCTCATTCCAGAAGAAAACAGCCCACAATAGGCATAAAGAGTTAAGACCACTGGTGGGCTGTTTGACATTCTGCTCCTCACCCCTTGCAAGGATAGAAGCCTGACCCTGACCATGCCACATGACTTATTAACTGTGTCCAAGACCCTGAACTGGTCTCGGAGGGTGCCTTTGACTTATTCTGCAGGGACCCCATGTCTGAAAGCTGCTTCCCTTAACTTTACTGAGGACTGCTGTAAATCATGACAAGCTTCCTGAATGTGTTAGCGTTAAACAGCAAGGCTAGGCAGAAGTACTGCGAGACTGGTAAGACAACAGAAGGCAGGAATGCTGAGCATCCAGGTGAGCTCAAGGTGAATGATTACAAAGAGAACTAGTGAAGATCTCTGAAATGTAGCCAGGTTTAATCCTTGAACTGGGTTCCCATCCCTGTGTGCAATGTGCCCTTGCAGCAGCATTGCAATGATGGTTGCTGATGCGCTCTGAGGTGCAGCTTTAAAGTGTAGAAACATAATATAAGTGGATCAGAGATGGAACATGATGATGCAGAGAAGCCAGCAAGAGTCTGATGCCAAAGGTTCACGGATGTTGGATGCATTCAGTCACTGTCCATGAAGCATGTCCTGAGATGTTTGTGCTGGATGTCCAAGATAGAGATCCGGAGGATCAAGTGGCGAACTGGAGTCTTCAAGCCTCTGCTCTACTTTCATGTTGGGAATTTCTTGCAGCAAGCTATAGGATAGGAAGTTACATATTAATGAGATGAGATGTACAGTTGCATCAAGTAATGATCCCTTTTAATAGGTATCTCATAGCTGTCTCGTGATAAACTCACCTTGACACACAGAACTTTGTTGGAAAATACAGTGAGTTGCTCTCAACGTTGAGAAAGGCCTCATTGGATGTATCACATGATTCTCCCAGATTTCCCACCAAAGTGAACGTTGTTCTATAACTTTCCATCCGATGTATTCTACATGCGGAACTTTGCAAATAATCATCTACCAATGATCATCATCACCCTGAAAGAGATTTTTCCCTTGGAATCCATGCCTGAATGGAAACTTGTATTGTTACAAACACCTGTCTGGCTGAATTGTACCAGTTGAATGAATATGCACTTTGGGAAACCTACTAAAATGGCAGGGTAAGGCTTTAGGACATGTGACAATTAGGCCATCTGCTGCCCTGGATGGCATTTTACCAACATTGGTAGAGGCAGCCACTGCATGGGAAAACTGCCAGGTAAATCCTAGCTGCCTATCATTGGGTTCTTAAGGGATGAAAAAGGGCCCGATTTATGTCTGTCCAGCTGCTAATAGCACTGTTACATGAATGTGTTTTTCACAAAACAATTCCCCCACAATATCTACAATCATTGGGTCATAGCTGCCTGGCCCTGACACAGTAAGCAAACAACTTAAAAAAAACAGAAAGAACTGTGAAAGAAAGAACTGACCTCACAGATGCTGCCAGACTTGCTGTTTTTGAAGCAAACAACTTACTTAGTCTTTGGAGCTACCTTCCTTTTCTTCATACAAAAGCCTCAGCAATGTGTACCTTTAACAGTGGCACTGCTGAGCTGCCAGTCCTCTAATGGGACTAGAACACCTTGGAAGCAGGCCATGCTCCTCAATTATATGAATGCTGTTGCCACGTTCTTTTAGTTGGTTACTGTCACAAAATGTTATACCAGGGTTCAGATGCAAGCCTGAAGGAAAGGAAGGTAGCATGAGATCAGGTCCTGCTTTCAATCCTGGGGATGGGACAACTATCCCTTTGAAAAAATTGAGCCCTATTTTCCAACAATACATTTACGTTAATCCTAAATCATGGTTCTACATCTGTAAAAGTTAATTTTCCCAATAATGTAACTAAAGGAAATTGACCCATTTCAACAAGAATTTTGCACTTGCAATTTTAGATAAAACTGTGAATAACAATATCCCTCTGCGTAATATCTTCTGAGTCCAATTCTTATTTAGAGAGATCATGACACTTGCTCATTCTGCATACATACATTCCTCAGTTTCAGTAGTGCCAATCATTTCAGCTCTCTCTTCAAAAATGTGTGTGTATTGTGTATATATTTGTATTTGTATGCATATGTATTTGTGTATGTCTGCCTACACCCACTGTTGAATCAGTTTATATATGTTTGTACTATTAATGGTGAAATGGACCACAAGCCATTAATTGGTTCCTTTGGGAAAATGTGATTGATTGTCTCTTAAAGTTATAGGAAAACAATTGGATTACAAAAGAATGGCCTACGGTTGTTATAAATAAATGGAGAACACATGTACAGTGCTGAGCTTGAATAAGGTCTGCAGAAGGACCTAGACAACAGTTCAAGTTGCCAAAATTACGTTAGAAGAAATTCATTGAAGATAGGATCAAGGGTTAATAAATCAGAGGGAAATGAGAAACATACTCAATGACAGTATCTAACTGGCCTGGGGAATGCTTACAGAGATCTTTGAGTGGTAGTAAATTCAAGATTTATAACATGCAGGCAATACATAGCAAGTTCACCATATTTCCATCAATCAAACCTAAACAATCAAACTACTCTACATCAGCAGGCCACAGCTTGATAGTTTTTCAAGTTACCACAGAGGTACATTTTTCCATATAAAAAATCTGACATTGCAGCTTATGCGAGTTTGCAAGTCAGTGAGCAAGTCAGGTCTCAGGAATGCTGTCTAATCCCGAGTCACAAAGTCATAGAGTTATACAGCATGAAAACAGACTCTTTGGTTCAACTCGTCCCTTTCAACCAAATATCCTAAACTGATCTAGTCCCATTTGCCAGCATTTGGCCCATATCATAAATAACAATCATAGAAGTATGTTTAACCAAATGACATGCTTTCAAAATATTTCATAGGTTTTTACCTTGAACAACCATGCAAATGCAGACTGGATGATATATACACATTAATCCTTTAATCTAATCTTGCTTCTATTATGTTCAGAGTTTGAAAGTATGGTTGTGGGAAATTTCAAAACTGTCTTTGTGGGGATTTTATATAATGTGCCCCCATTACACTCCAATATTTATTTCTTGTTGCCTTTCTAGCTTCTCTGCAAGCAACAGGGCGGGCACAACTGCTTCAGGATCACTGCCAGTTCTTTCAGCAGGTGGCCATCAGGAGATAGCAGGAATTGTTATGTTGTGATCCACCCATGCAATTTTCCCTCCCTCCACTCTGTCAGATAACACAGACTCTCTATAACCTCACTTCACAAGATATGGTTTGGGTCAGAAGCACTACATCAAAATAATATATTGCAATGCTCTTTACCCTCCTCTTGAAAGTATGTCGAGACTCAGTTGGCTGGATGGTTGGTTTGCAAGAGATAATAGGAACTGCCGATGCTGGAGAATCTGAGATAACAAGGTGTAGAGCTGGACGAACACAGCAGGCCAAGCAGCATCAGAGGAGCAGGAAAGCTGACGTTTCGGGCCTAGACCTTTCTTCAGAAATGGGGGAGGGGAAGGGGGTTCTGAAATAAATAGGGAGATAGGGAGAGAGGGGGAGGCAGATAGAAAATGGATAAGGGAGAAGATAGGTGGGGAGGAGACAGACAGGTCAAAGAGGCGGGGATGGAGCCAGTAAAGGTGAATGTAGGTGGGGAGTTAGGGAGGGGATAGGTCAGTCCAGGGAGGACGGACAGGTCAAGGGGGCGGGATGAGGTTAGTAGGTAGGAGATGGGGGTGGGGCTTGAGGTGGGAGGAGAGGATAAGTGGGAGGAAGGACATGTCATGTCTTAAATAAATGGTTTCTTTTTACTGATACATATTTTTCATTGGCATATTCACTTCTACATACTTTGAAGTCAAAGTCAAGTCACCATAGTCTTACCAGACCATAGGGATGCTCTCCCATTAGAGAGAAAAGACTGGCAGTGAATTAACTTGAGGGCCACCATACCTCAGGTGAGGGGAGGTAGGTTGAGAAGGAGAGTCCATCATGGTAACCTCAGCTGATGTGGGGATTGAACCCATGCTGTTGGCATCAAACAGGACTGGTTAGGGAGGCGGGGACAAGCTGGGCTGGTTTTGGGATGTAGTTGGGGAAGGGGAGATTTTGAAGCTTGTGAAGTCAACATTGATACCATTGGGCTGCAGGGTTCCCAAGCGAAATATGAGGTGCTGTTCCTGCAACCTTTGGGTGGCATCGTTGTGGCTCTACAGGAGGCCCAGGATGGACATGTTGTCTAAGGAATGGGAGGGGGAGTTGAAATGGTTCGCGACTGGGAGGTGCAGTTGGTTTGCAAAGCAGTTTGATGCCAATACCATGGGTTCAATCCCAACATCAGCTGAGGTTACCATGAAGGACTCTCCTTCTCAACCTATCTCCCCTCACCTGAGGTATGGTGGCCCTCAATTTAATTCACTGCCAGTCTTTTCTCTCTAATGGGAGAGCATCCCTATGGTCTGGTAAGACTATGGTGACTTGACTTTGATTTCAAAGTATGTAGAAGTGAATATGCCAATGAAAAATCCGTATCAGTAAAAAGAAACCATTTATTTAAGACATGACGATTCAAGAAAGGAATAGAAATAAAATTTAAGAATTAGTCATTGTGACAAAGCAAACCTCAGTCTCTACTATGATATGCATCCAATGAGGCTTGTTGAATTTTCACTATCATCTAACAACAGTGAATCATTTTTTACTACCATGTTTATACAGATTAGTGTATTAACATGAAATCCCTTTATGCAGAAAGCTTACAGCAGTCAGGAAAGCTACAGTGAAGCTCTGTTTTGTAGGAGAATATTTAATGGATGAAATTCCTGTCTTTGTTAATTTAGTAAATCATCAAATCAGGGATCAGTTTGGATATTACTGGATATTTCACTAGGTCATTGCAAATGATTTGTTTATTATTCTGTTGCTGTTTCAAGCCATAAATAATATTTTTGAGTATGTCATAATGGGATATTCCAGCAATATGGAAAATTACACAGCTATGTCCTGTCCATAAAAATGGACAAGTCCAACCCAGCCAATTATTACCCTAACAGTCATCAACAAAATGATGCAAGGTGTCATCAACAGTGTTAACAACAGGCACTTGCTAAACAACAACCTGTTCGTGAATAATGGGTTCGGATTTTTCCAGATATATTCATCTCCTGATCTCATTACAGCCTTGGTTCAAACATGGACAAAGGAGATGAGATGAGATCTATTGTCCATCACATCAGGACAATATTTGATTGAGTGTGCCAATAAGAAGGCCTAATAAGATCAGAGTCATTGGGAATCAGAGGGCAAACTGTCCCATGGTTGGAGTCATACCTTGCACAAATAAGGATGGTTGTGGTTATAGGAAATCAACCATATCAATCCTGGGGCACTGTAAAAACTCACCATGGCCTGTTCGACTGGTCTTCCCAAACCCATGACTTTTATCATTTGCCAAGTGCAACATGTGTTAGACCATCACCAACTGCAAGTTCCCCTCCAATCCATTCACCATCCTGATATAGAACTATATTGCCATTCTTTCATTCCATCTGGGTCTTGAACTCCTCACTGCCTCTGGGTCTTGAACTCCTCTATTAACAGTGCTATGAGTAAACTTAACCTGTAGGGTCTGTAGTGGTTCAAGAAGGCAACTCACCACTTTCTCAAAGGCATTTAGGGATGGGCAATAAACCAACAATGCCATCAATGCACATAAGATGAATAAGAAAAGTAATAGCAAATTGTCTAACCTGAGTCAAAGGGAGATACGGGAATTTTCATCATCACACACTTCAGGCAAGCATTCGTGACTTTATTAAATATTTTACCACACACCAATTCCTTGTGGGTTTCTTCACTAGCTTCCTGCCAGACACTGGCATGTGTGTGTATAAATGATTCACAGGTAACTCGGCGGCTAGAAATCAACTAATTTTCATGGGAAATCTTGAAAAACATCTTTGACTTATAATGTTGTACTGATCAGCCATAAAAGCAATGCCCACCTTTGTTGCTGCACTGCCATTAGAGACAGTATCTCTGTCTTTGAACAAAAAAAGGGCTTGGTAGTCAGTTAATAAAGTGTATTTCTTACCCTAAGGTATTTGCATAACTTAGTAACAGTATATATGATGGCTAATGCCACTCTCTCAACTTGTGAATGATTTTGTTTTGACTTCATTGATATACAAGAAGCATATCCTATAGCCCTCCTCACAACATCTTCCATTATATGAGATAACACCACTATTAACCCCTGTGAAGAGGTATTACATGCTAAAACCAATTGTTTCTCTGGATTATAGTTGGTCAAAGCAGCATCAATTAGGCAGCATGAGTGAAAGCAAAGTACTGCAGATGCTTGAAATCTGGCCAAATCCCAAGGAACATAACTGTTAGACTAGGACTGCAGGAGGTCATGAGGGAACAAACAAAAAGAGAAACCTCATTTGACCTTGTCCTCACCAATATGTCTATTACAGATACATGACAGTTTTGTTTTGAGTTAACAAGTGCATTAGCTAAACTAGGGGTGTGCTTATAATGCCACTAAACAATCCCTATGGCCATTCTAAGATCTTGTTTGTGCTCTGGACTCTTTGCTTTCAAAATGCCCTTACTCTTCTCCTATGTTGGGTAGATACTTCCATCATCTATTTTGTAACCTGAATATGTTGAGCTTGACACCATAAGGCAATACTTAAGCTTTCTGAAGATTTCTGAAGAAGGGTCCCAACCCACAATGTCAACTTTCCTGCTCCTCTGATGCTGCCTGGCTGCTGTGTTCCTTTAGCTCCACAGTTATGACCGTTCACAGTTAAGACTCCAGCATCTGCAGTTCTTGCTATCTACTTGAGCTTTCTTGCTTTGATTCCATACTCTTGAAATCAATCTAGGAGTCAACACCCCAAATGGTAACGTTTTGTACTGGTGCAATCTTTTGTGTGTGAATATAGCAGCTCTTGCCCTTGTCCATTTATTGTCATTACAATTAAGTATTTGACAGATCTATCTTACTGAATACCTTTCCATTGGCTAAATTAGAAATAAATCTTCACTGATAGGCAGTGGGTAAATATCATTCTTGATCACCACAATTAATGTTTAGTTATCATTTTCACAAACGCAAATTGACCCACCTCCTTTTTGAAGTATCACAATGGGTGCAGCCTATTCACTAGTTCTCACCTTCTTAATTGCTCTTGTTCTTTCCAAACTAGTCAACACCTCACTTCTGTTCTAACTGGGCATATGGCATTGGTCCAGCTTTGTGAAGTAATCACCATATATTCTCTTTTATCTTGATTTCAACCTTGCGATGCCTAATTCTATCATTTGGCCCTCCTTGCCTGCAGAAAACTTTATGCTTGCTTATAATTCAATAACAAATGTACTTTTACTGATCCCAATAGAGACATTAGTATCTGGAGCTAATCTCTTCCCTCCTATTACTATCAATGATAAGTATTATCATATTCCACACTAACACTAATTTTACATATCATTGGAGTGCTGTTTTTGGAGTAACTAGACAGTTTTACGCAGGTTTTGCAGAAAGGAGTGTGACTTAGGGACATATTGTACTATCCTTCTGAGACAACACACAATGCTGTGGCTGTATATATGGGACAGTACATTGTGAATTTGCTACTTTTATGTCTAGTGGAGGGAGCTGGAGTTATATCTTTAATTCTACTACTGTCACCTTTCATGTGCTGTTTTACACGTTCTTTGGTTGAGTACAACCTTTGATATTCCTGCTTAACAACATCTATTTCTGTTTCCAAGTCTATTATATGCTCATTTAAGGACATCTAGACTCATGAACTAGCTGCAGATGTACCCTAACCTTGACCCAGTGCTTGACTGTGATCTGGGGCAGTATTTTTCCTTCTGCTCCTGCATGCTATCTGAATATGACTAATTTCCTCACAGACAATAACACTTGGACTGGAAATGGGATGGTAAAATCTGTTAAAGGAGGAATAGGACAATGAAGATGCAGAGACAGTATCACTTGGTCATACACTTGCAAGCAATAACTCAGACACTGACCTGCATGCATTTTAGAAGCAGGTGATAATAAAGGAGAGATCTGGATTTAGTGAGACACCAACTATAAGTGTGTAGGGGCCGGTGGCATAGAAAATAGCATAGAAGAGATCTTGCCAGATTATGCTTACACACAATTGCTGCTCGGAGGAGTCGGATAAGGACTTCAACGGGCCTATCTACATAAGAAGGTTGATGAGGGAACATACCCAAATGACAGAAAGTCCGTATACAACGTTATGAAATATTGAGGAGTCCAGCACCAACATGGTAAGCTTAACCCTAACCTTTGGATACCAGTGTTCAAAGGGATTTCAAGGATGTTTCAGCTGTCCAGAAATGTATTCTGCAGTAGACTAGTAGAATTACTGATAGGCTGTCTCAGGAGAGAGACAGTTGCTGCCTGAAGTGCAAATCTGTTGTGCTGTCTCTGTCACTCAGTCAGTGCATTTAATGTTACCCACCATCAGCCAGACAGACTACCTTGGCCTGGGCTGAGGTTTTGCAGTCTGAAACAAGAACTTCTAGACTCATAGCAGCCTTCTAAGACCATCTGCAGTCTCATTAATTGAAGATCCTTCCAGTCCTTTCACTGTTCAGGCTACAACTACCACTGGGGAAGCACCTATCAGGAGCAGGTCAAACTAAAGCATGAGGGCACAAAAGGGGATTAAATTTGGATGCATTATGCCATGACAGAATTTCTAAAATTGGATTAGATTGTAAATTTTCTGGTTCTTTTTTTTTTGCTGTCAGCATAGGCATAATGTGATGTTCTCTAACCAGGTAAAGAGCAAGGGACTGTTGGTGAAAGGGGAGGTGTGGTTGAGTTATTTGATAATGTAGAACTTGCTGAGTATTTCCAATATTTTCTGATTCTGTTTGAGATTTACTCATCACTTGCTGGGCTGGTAGCACAGATGCAACAAGATCTTACCATTGCTGCTTTAGAATCATTTCAAATTGTCATTGGAGAAATCAGTAACATCGTAATCTCGCTCAAGCAAGATATTCCTTTTACTAAATTTGTGACAGTTGTTTATTCCATTTTCAATTCCTACTGATTTTCTATTATATATATAAGTATAGATTCAAATATATAATAAAATACAATACAGCACAGGAACAGGTCCTCTGGCCCACCAAGCCTGAGCCAATTCATAATCCTTATTTAGACCTACTACTTATGCCCATGCATGGTATCTATCTCTCTGCCCACCTCATGTTCATTTGTCTATCAAGATGTGCCTTAAATGTTGCCAACATGCCTGCTTCCAGTACCTCCACTGACAACATGTTCCAGGCACCCACCACCCTCTGCATGAAAAGCTTTCCCTGCACTTCTCCCCTAAACTTTCCCTGTCTCACCTTGAACCTGTGCCCTCTTGTAGTTGATGTTTTCACCCTGGGAAAAAGACCTCTGACTATCCACCCTAGCTATGCCTCTCATAATTTTGAAGACCTCTATTAGGTTGTCCCTCAGCATCTGTCTTTCCAGTAAAAACCATCCGAGTTTATCCAACCTTTCCTCATTACTAAAACCCTGTAGACCAGGCAACATCCTGGTAAACCTTCTCTGCACCCTCTGCAAAGTATCTGCCTCCTTCTGGTATTGTGGCAACTAGAACTGCACACAATATTCCAAATGTGGCCTAGCTAAAGTTTTTTACAGCTGTAACATAACTTGCCAACTTTTATATTTGATGCCCTGACTGATGAAGGCAAATGTGCTGAATGTCTTCTTGGCCACCTTATCCGCCTGTGTTGCCTCTGTCGGGGATCGGTGGACCTGTATGTGTTGTCTCTCTGTATGTCAATGCTCCAAAGGGTTCTGCCATTTATTGTATAATTCGCACCTGAATTTGATCTTCCAAAATGCATAACCTTGCATTTGTCCAAATTAAACTCCATCTCCCATTTCTGTGCCCAAATCTGCAATCCATCCATATCCCTTTGTAACCTTTGATAATCCTCCACACTATCTGCAACTTCACCAATTTACTAATCAGACCAGCCACATTTTCCTCCAGATCATTTATATATTATAAACAACTAAGGTCCCAGCACTGATCCCTGTGAAATACCACTAGTTACTGATCTCTATTCTGAAAAGCACCCTTCCACCACTATTCTCTCTCTTCTATGACCAAGCCAGTTTTGTATCCATCTAGCCAGCTCACCCTGAATCCTGTGAGAGTCTACCTTCTGTACCAGCCTGGCATGAGGTACCTTATCAAATGCATTACTGAAGTCCAAGTAGTCAACATCCTTTTCTCATCAATCATTTTTGTCACCTCCTTAAAAACCTTAATCAAGTTGGTGAGACATGACTTTCCCCATACAAACCCATGCTGCCTCTCACTAACAAGTCTATTCGCTTCCACATGTAAATAAATCCTGTCTCAGCATCTTCTCTAATAGCTTCCCCACCACTGATATCTGGATCACCAACCTGTAATTACCTGGATTATCTCTCTTGCCCTCCTTAAACAAAGGAACAACATTGGCCATTCTCCAGTTCTCTGGAACTTTGCCTGGGGTCAAAGAGGATGCTAAGATATCTGTTAAGACTCAGCTATGTCCTCCCTCACCTCCCACAGTATCCTGGGAAAGATCCCATCCGGCCTTATGAACTTGCCTACCTCAATGTATTTCAAGACCTTTCTTACCATCTATGTTCAGCTAGTCAATCTACAGTTGGATTTCTTAAATCTCTCTTTATAAATACAGAAAGCATATTACCTGCCAACCAGTCCTCTGTGTTACAGTGCATCTACATCTCTTCCTTAATCTTTAATACTTCCAGATGCAATCATCTGTTTCTTGGATTTAATGCCTGTAAATTTAATTAATTTGTCAATGCTCTTCTACTTTTTATGTTGAAAGCCTTTATGTCCTGTTTGAATTCTTCTAATGTCATGTCCATGTTGGTCTCTCTGGAAAATACAATGGCAAAGCAATTAATACATATTTCTGTTATGTGTATTCCATCCTGACCCTATTCATATCCTGATTTTTCGTTTGTGATCTACGCATTTGGAGACTAC